GTCTCTTTGGGAGAAGTGCATCAGTGTCAACTGGAGGACTCGTATTGTGGCCACTATAAAGTAGGCACTGGTCCTGCCAGCACAAGGAAGTGCCTCAGAAAACTCCCTGAATGGCTGGGAGGAGCTTCATGGCCCTGAGCGTTCACACCGTGGCTGGGAACGTGCTTTCTTCATCTTCCTTCCTTCCTTCCTTCCTTCCTTCCTTCCTTCCTTCCTTCCTTCCTTCCTTCCTTCCTTCCTTCTTTCTTTCTTTCTTTCTTTCTTTCTTTCTTTCTTTCTACAGGCAGAGTGGACAGTGAGAGAGAGAGACAGAGAGAGAAAGGTCTTCCTTTGCCGTTGGTTCACCCTCCAATGGCCGCCGCTGCAGCCGGCGCACCGCGCTGATCCGATGGCAGGAGCCAGGAGCCAGGTGCTTTTCCTGGTCTCCCATGGGGTGCAGGGTCCAAGCGCTTGGGCCAACCTCCACTGCACTCCCTGGCCACAGCAGAGAGCTGGCCTGGAAGAGGGGCAACCGGGACAGAATCTGGCGCCTTGACCGGGACTAGAACCCGGTGTGCCAGCGCCGCTAGGCAGAGGATTAGCCTATTGAGCCGCGGTGCCGGCCTCATTTCTTTATTTTACCGTGGGCTGGAGAGGTGCAGCTTGGGAGGTGCACATTGCAAGTACAGCATGTGAAATTCTTTACTGTTAAATCAGAAGAAACCATGTAATTAGTGAAATTGCAGAACAAATTTATGAAGCATTCAAAACCATCTCACTTCTAAGTTTTTTTTAAAAAGGTTTATTTTATATATTTGAAAGGTAGAATTATAGAGAGAGAGAGAGAGAGGGAGAGATCTTCCATCTGCTGGTTCACTCCCCAAATGGCCTCAACAGCTGGGGTTGGGCCAGGTCAAAGCCAAAAGCCAGGACCTTCATCCAGGTCTCCTGTGTGGGTGTCAGGAGTCCAAGCACTTGGGGCCGTCCTCTGCTGCTTTACTAGGCACATTAGCAGGAGCTGGATCAGAAATGGAGCAGGAGGACTTGAACCAGTACCCGTATGGGATGCCAGCATTGCAGGCAGAAGCTTAACCCATTATACCACAGTGCTGAGCCCCTCACTCCTAATTTGAAAGGCATTTGATAGAATACAGCCTTGTCAGCCACAGAGCTGTGCCAGCGGCTTTACGGTGCTTCCCTGGAAACAGCAGGGGAAGGTGTGTCAGGGTCCTCCACCTGCTGCTGGACTCTGCTCCCTGTCTCTGGCAGACTCGGTTCCAGGCTCCTCTCCCGTGCCCCCGCGCCACCCCCTGCATTTCTCTTTGCACTGCTCAGGGATGTCTGCTAACCTCTTCTCTCTACCTTCTGGTGCTTGGTAAGGACCACTAATCTCCGATCTGTCAGAATAGAGCCTCCCCTCTCACCATGCTACGCTTCTTGTGCCATTGTCAGCACTTTTTATTCAAAGCTAGGCTCCCACTGGACTAGCTAGCTAATTATAAACCCTCTACCTAGCTTCTGATGCATTCAGTGCAGATAACCCCTCCCCTATTGTCACTCTCTCAGCACAGGGGCACCTTCTGACAGATGGGCAGTAACTGGAATGTGAATTTTTACCTGGGGGGAGAGTGCCAGCCTCCTGTTTAGCACACTTAGGAAATGAAGACTGCAGCACAGGTGCCACTCGCTGCCTTGGGCTGTGCCATTAAAAGCAGCTCAGAGCATTGATCTTCCTTCTTACTTGGAATAATTTAAGGCCAGGCTCAGTCTGTTAGCCACTCTGGTGGTCTTTTTCTGTATGAGCACTGTTAAAAATGAACAAACTACCGAAAACCACACTTGGGGCTGTAGCATCTCTCCTTGGGGAATGTTTTAGCCACTTCATTGCAGTGGGTAGAAGCTCAGCCAAGTCAGCCTAAGAACAGAGAAGGGCCTGGGGAAGGTGGACGCGTATTCAGAGGAACGGGGAGTCTGTCGGAATGCAGAGTGCAGGAGCGCAGGTCTCCTGTGGGCACTGGGGTGGGAGTCCCAAAGCACCCAGGTGCTCTCCCAGGGTTCTCACCCCTCCCTTCCCTGGCAGCAGTCAGGCTACCTGGAGGGCTGGGTCCCTGCCCTGCTCTGCCCTCCCCGTTCTAGGGAGTCTCTCTCTCTCTCTCTGTCTCTGTCTCTGTCTCTCTCTCTCTCTCTCTCTCTCCCCCTGCAGACTTTGTTCTCCAGCTCACACGGAATGCAATGTGGTCACCAGTATTTTTCACACAGCCCCTTGGAAGGACATATCCTCCGTCTCTCTTTACTCTTGATTCCAATTTACAGAAAAGGAAACAGTAGGTTGGCAGCTGGTTTGGAGGTCCCTGTCAGCTTGCCTTTGACAGAGGGAATCCAGGAAGTGCCACCAACCACAGGCACTGTTTGCTTTCCTGGGAGATGTGTGAGTTTACAAGGACCAGGCTGATGGTCTAGCACGTGGTGAGACATCAGTAGCTGTTTGTTGAATGAATAAATACATGTGAAATTAGCTGCTTATCTTATACAAATGCACAGCCTACAGAAGAGTGGCAGGGGCGGGGAGATTGTTCCCTTTCAAGCTCCCACATTCCTGGAGCTTCAAATCGGTTCACTAAGAACAGGGAGTAAAGGCCTGGGAAATGGTGTTGAAGAGTGGGAGGAGAACGGAGGCGGCTGAATTTCTGTGCAGAAGACGAGGAGGAGGAGGGGAAGAAGGAGATAAGGCAAAGAGAGCGGTCACAGGTGCTTTGGGTTTGGAATTTTTGAAGGATGTAGAAAAGCAGTCCTGTTTTTCAGAGTTTTTTCCATGTTATTATATGTGCCGGACAAATTGAACTTTCTGGAGAAGTTAAATGTTGCATTTATTTATGTCCCAGTGCCTGCCTTCCATTTCTTTGTACCTATTTTGACCTCCTTGTACAGCCATGACCTTCCTCTTACAGGTCCTACTTGGAGCAGCAACAAGATCTTAGCCTATATGTAGATTATTTTATGCCTTTCTAATTAGTTTGGAAAAATCATCACTTTCTAGGGTAAATTAGTGACTGTTATCTTTGCTTAGCTTGCAGTTCATTTTTACAAAAAAATTGTGCAAGTCATTAAATAACTTTATTTGCATAGTTCTAAACACATTGAGTGATATCTAACATGAACAGTGTGACAAGGTAGAAGGTAATTTGTGATTCTGGATTCTTCTGGGGATTCATTGGGGTTCTTTTAGAAATGACCTTAGGATTATAACAGCTTGTATTTTCTATTATGTTTATAATGACTTGCTAAAGGTAAATGAAGTTTCTTGGTTGTGTTGAATTCATTACAAGTAGAAGACAGGTCCATTCTGAGTAGCAAATTAGCTGACGTATTTGTGGAGTGCTTGTCAAGTTGACCCCCGAAAAAACTGAACTAAGAAGGAAAATATAAAAATTATTTAACTTTGAAACTAATGTTCAGTCTCTCTGAGGGGATCTTCGAAAAGTTCATGAAAATGTGTTACAAAAAACTATTCCTGGATTTCAAAAGGTGTTGGCACCAAAATAAACTTATCTCTGAATCCCATTTTTCTATGAAAATTTTGGAGTACTCAGTTCCACAGGGGTCTAAACAAGGGCTAAAAACAACAGTCATACCAGAGAATGTTTGTTCCATTCCTGCGCATTTTGTATTTTATATTAACTGCCACATATCAGAGAAAACATGATATTTGTCTTTTTGTGACTGACTTACTAAGTGTAATGATTTCTGGTTGCATCCATTTTGTTGAAAAAGATAGGCTTTCATTCTTTTTTTTTTTTTGGACAGGCAGAGTGGACAGAGAGAGAGAGAGAGACAGAGAGAAAGGTCTTCCTTTGCCGTTGGTTCACCCTCCAATGGCCGCCATGGCCAGTGCACTGCTGCCGGCGCACCACGCTGATCCGATGGCAGGAGCCAGGTACTTCTCCTGGTCTCCCATGGGGTGCAGGGCCCAAGCACGTGGGCCATCCTCCACTGCACTCCCGGGCCACAGCAGAGAGCTGGCCTGGAAGAAGGGCAACCGGGACAGAATCCGGCGCCCGGACCGGGACTAGAACCCAGTGTGCCGGTGCCACAAGGCGGAAGATTAGCCTGGTGAGCCGCAACGCCAGCTTTCATTCTCTTTTATAACTGTGTTTCTTACTTGTTGAGATGTTATGGTTAGTGGTGAATTAAGCCTGTGATTATAGAATGATTAAATTATGTCTGCAAAAATTAAAGGAAAAAAAAGAAAGGGAGATTGAGGAAGGGAGAAAGAGAGAAGAGAAGCATCATTATCTTAGAGCTATGCCTATGAAATCTGTTTGCTTTAATAAAATTTTTTTAGAAAAGAATTTTTTGGGTACACTTGTACTATTTTTTAACCTTGTAAACCTCTGCATTTTGACTTTTCAGGAACAAGCAGCAAAATAATCTGGGAATCTCCCTTGGAAGGGCAGTGGAATAAATGTTCTTTGTTTTTTTCCTCATAGATAAAAAAGTATATTTTATTATAAGTCTCTCATATTGTTTGTGCCAGAAAATTGTTTGTGCACTAAATCATGTAGGGATATCTAATTTCACTTAGAGGATTCTTTTAAAGACAGTTTGATTTAGTAGACTTACAGTATTTTGCTTCTTTATTACTGGTCAACTCATTGTCAAAGAAAATAAGCAACATGTGAGTACAGAGAGCTGAAGGTGTGCTCTTCATTTTGACTTGATTGTGTTCTAGCCTTGAACTCTTTATTCTAGTGGAGGCAATAGAAGTGACAGTGATATTCTGGTCTGTTAGAACGTCGCAGTCACATGGCCCACAGTTGTCCTTGCCATCTCATTTACCTATATCTTACGTTGCAAACCCTGCTTTTCACCTGTTAGGCTTTTATGCCCTGTGCAGTTTGGGCCTGAAGTCAGGTGATTTACGTCATCGCCTTACACGAATCAAGTGACTATTTGATTTAAATGTTTATTGCACCTGCCTGTAGGTATGCACCACATTCTTTTATGTTACAACTCATGGAAAGGAGGGCTGTTGCCGGAAAGAGTCTTGTGGGTGCTTGTCCTCAGCTAAGTATAGATAAAAAAGCCAGGAAACAGTTTGAAAAGCAGCAGAAACTTTTATTAGACAAAAAAGGAACTTTTATTTGATTGGCAGACGACAGAGAAAGCGTCTGGTCCAAGAGGAGACCAGTGGAGTGTCCTAGCGGGACTCTGGCTCTCAGGAAGTGTCCTGGGTTTCTGAGGTGTCACTGTCTGTTCATTGGGTCATCCTATTGGGGGTGCCCGTTGGATGGGGGTTTCACATACGGTTTCACATATGTATGTTGATTGGCTTGGGGCTCATGGAGAAAGGAGGGGTCTCCTGGAGACTGTCTGTCTTCTTAGGGGCTCAGACCCCCTCCTCCGCTAGCTCTGGGTCAAAGAATCCAGCCACCCTGGAGATGTGATCTAAAGCCGCTAGGTCACACAAGATAGCCCGGGTCTCCTGGAGCCAGTCTGACTCTGCCAGGGGCCCGGCCCCTTCCCCTGCCAGCTCTGGGTGAAAGATTGCACCCACCCAGAAGGTGTGATTTAAAGCTGCAAGGTCACACATGCAGCACAAGACGCCGTTAGTGGGGGAGTTGCCAGTCGGTCCGGAGATGGGCTTTCCAGCCACAGCTGGCAGCCTGCTTGTGAAGGACGTTATACCTATGTCTGATGGGGCCCACAGGCCAACAGCCCCACTGGCTGGTCTCAAATTCCCCCTTCCTTAATCCACACTCTACTACGGCAGGGACTTGGGGCATCCATGTCTCTCTGGCTACTTCCTGGGGACAGGAGGCCATAGTCCTAGGGGCACTTAGGGTGTGGGAGGGCTGCTGTGGTAGAATGCAGTTTAGAGTAAACTAGCCATTAGGATAAAGCAGTTCTACAAACCACGTCCTTCCTCTATTTAAAAATCTCTTCCCTTTTTAACCTTCTTTACCAAGAACACATTTTTATAGTTCTTTTTTTCCACCTGCTGATTTCCTTGATTTACATTCCTTAATTTCAAGCAGTTTTGAATTATTTTTCATACAGACAATTTATGAAAATGTTAATGAACCCGCACAATCTCCCTTATAGAATTTAAGATCCTGGAGCACACACATCCTTATTTTCATTTACCTTTACCCCAGTTTTATTCAGAAACTATACCCAGATGACTTAAACTACTTTAAGTCTCATTTCTTCCAATCAAGACTCAATAAGGCAACAGAAAAACCAAAGCCTTCAAGACACGTTAAAACTCTTATTAGCTTGGTCAGTTATAATAGCACAGAAAAAGCTTTGATTATCAGCATGTGAGCCCATTACTTAGGACAGTGCAATACATCATGAAACAAAGAGGCAGAGAATCATACATTCCTATAAACTACAGAGAAGGGAGAAAGCAAAAAGAGACACCATGAAATATTCCGTGGGATTAGACAGGTGTGTTGTTTTCACCGAGTGCTTGAAATCTCCTGTTGCCCATGATTGCCCACTATCTAGCTGTCCGAGTTGACCTGGAGGGCCAACATTAGCCTAGGTCAAGGCTGAGCCCCGCTCACGTAGCAGTAGGTGACATGACCAGGCGTCCCTCCAAGAGAGAGGCAAGGTCCTCGGGTCACAGTCCGGCCACCAGAAAGCCAAAGCGAGCTCAGGGGGTCTCCAGGCTCTCAGGCTACTGCCCTTCCTAGTTGCCCTCTCCTCCTTGTACAATTCTTCCGAGTTTCAGTCGTGGCTAAGCCATGGCCAGAGCGAACTCCGTGTTCTTGGAGAGCTGTGAGATGCCAGATGATCCAGTCATTCCCACAGATCCTGTCCCACTTGAGGGAAGGAATACAGACCTTGCCAAAGTCTTCTACCGAGCCCCACGTTGGGTGCCAAAGATGTTACGGGTCATGAAAGGGAGGGCGGTTGCTGGAGTGAGTTGCATGGGTTCCATCTCCTTAGAGGTTCAGCGTTCTCCTCTGCCAGCTCTGGGTGAAAGACTGCAGGTCCCCTGGAGGTGTGAATCAAAGCCATAAGGTCACACAAGATAGCCCGGGTCTCCTGGAGCCAGTCTGACTCTCCCCAGGGGCTCGACGCCTTCCTCTGCCAGCTCTGGGTGGAAGATGGCCCCCACCCCGAAGGTGTGATTTAAAGCCGCAAGGTCACCCCTGCAGCACAAAAAGCTGTTAGGGAGAGAGGTGCGGGTCGGTCTGGAGACGGCTTCCCAGCCACAGCCGGCAGCCTGTTTGGGAAGGACATTCCACCCGTGTCTGAGGGGCCCGCAGGCCCCCAGCCCCCTGCACAGCCTCATTTTACTGTGGACGTATGAAGTCTTGTGTGAGAGAGGAGCAACTTGAGAATGTCATTAAATTATGCTAAGACGATTATTTAACTGGAGGTGTTTTAAAGTGTTTTGGCAACAGCAGGGAGTGGGTGACTTTCAGAGGTGATGGAAGGGGTTCCTCAGTGGACAGGTTGGCTTAGGGATCTCAGGCCGGGAGAGCATGGTGGGGGCAGTGAAGGCATGCCACAGACTGGCGTGGTGGTGGGGATGCTGAGTGCCTGCCAGAGATGGGGGGATGCAGGGATGACGCAGAAGAGAGGGTGACCTACAGAGGGGAGCCTCTTCTTGTCCCTGCTTTGCCCTGTGGCAGTGGGGATGCTGTGTTAGGAAACGGAAGCTAGTAGGGCAGAGACTCATCCTTTTTTGCATACCTCTTATGAAAGAGCTGTGCTAGAAGCTTTGTCTGCTTTATTTTGCGTGATCTTCAAGAAAACCTGATGAATGGGAGGTGGTTTTGCCTCTGCTACACAGAAAAGGAAATGGATGACTGTCAAGGGTGATCATTTGTCCCAGGTTATGGGCGTGTGATGTAATTTGCAGGCCTAGCACCTCCCGTACCCGGCTCATCTCCAGACGCCACATCAAATTCCCAAAAGTCAGAGTAGAGCAATATAGGGTGAATAATTGGAGGGGACGGTTACTTTAATTTCACAATAGAGGTGGTTATTGCCAGAAGTAAGGCGTTGGTAGTGGTGATGACAGACAAACAGCGTGGATTTGAGAGTCTTTCTGAAATAACCCTGGTGATGGACCCAGTGTTACGAATAGAGGAGAGGGAGGGGCTGATACAAACTGAAGTTTCTGTGTCTAGCAGAAATGAATCTCACCGAGTGGGCTGAAGCCAGGCAAAGAAGGCAAGGAGGATCTGAGGTGTGATGGTTGTATTCACAGAACGCGTGGGTGTGGTCTGTGACAGCTCCATCTACAGCCTTACACAGGTCTTCTCTGTAGGAATTAGAGGGAATGAAAGGCTGATGTTGGAACATTTGAGTATTTTTTTTTTTTTTTTTGACAGGCAGAGTTATATATAGAGAGAGACAGAGAGAAAGGTTTTCCTTTTCCTTTGGTTCACCCCCCAATGGCCACTACGGCCGGTGCACTGTGCCAATCCGAAGCCAGGAGCCAGGTGCTTCTCCTGGTCTCCCATGCGGGTGCAGGGCCCAAGCACTTGGGCCATCCTCCACTGCCCTCCCGGGCCACAGCAGAGAGCTGGACTGGAACAGGAGCAACCAGGACAGAACCGGTGCCCTGACTGGGACTAGAACCCGGTGTGCCGGCGCCGCAGGCGGAGGATTAACCTAGTGAGCCACGGTGCCGGCTCCATTTGAGTATTTTATCAGTGGGCATCGCCAGGTGCAGGTGCAGTTTGAATCATTCAGGACTGCTTTTAACGATTGTCCACAGCATTCGTGGCATCCTCATGGGTCTTGTCCCACAACTTGTTACCCTGGATCTGGCCAGCAAAGTCCTCCCACTTGTACTGAACTCCCCCGGTGTCTTTCCATGTCAAGAACTAGAAACTTTGAGCAAAAACACTAAAATTCAGCTATTTAGAATACAGTTGATTAAGTGACCAGGCTAACGCTATTAATAATTTTACTACATGCATGTACACGTGTGTAAACACACACAAATATTGGAGAAAGGTTAATGTAATAGACCCAGGTTTGGTTCTTGGCAGTTTGAAGCAACAGTTTTTATTGTCAATGCTTGAGAATGCTTAGAGATTTGCTTGGGTTAATGCAGGTCTGCTTTCATGTAAGTTACCTCCTTATCCTGATTTACTTTGTGTATGAAATCCCCAATCTTGTTTAAGTCACCCAAACGTGGCTGGGAGAGACAGCTGTGACAGTGCGAATCCAGCTGGCCACAGATGGGTCTTCAGTGAAGCATGAATCGGTATTGGTTTGCTGGTCTGTGTTTACGCCTCCTGTTACACTTTCAGAGATGTGGCCCCTAAATCATTGGCATCAACTGCGCCCACTTACGCATGAATAATAGACCAAATGAACTGCAATTTTTGTTGCTCACGATCAGGGCTCCCACCTGGAAGACCCACTTACCAAGTGACAAGTCTTGTGGACTGCGGAGCTCATGTCAGGGTCTGTGCAGTCAGGCAGCGCGTGGATTTCTCTGGTTTCAGCCTTGAAGGCTCATCTTACCTGTGGGCATGATTATTAGCCTTTCTCCCATCTTGTATATTGAAATTTCCACACATCCGTTATGGACTTGACAGTTTAAGCTTGGAATCTCATGAAAAAATAAAAACTGAAGTGAGAGCCCAGAAAGAAATTCCTTCAGGATCTTGAAATACTGTGTCAATGACGGATGCTCACCTGGTAGGCTGATAGAAAAGCAAAGTTTTCCAGATCTATGTGCAGTGGAAATAACCAGCTAAGGCAGAAAGCAAAACTAAACCCCTAATTTGCCAGGTTTTAGCTCCTGGCAAGTATGATATAACTGTGAATCATTTCCCAAGGCCGTGGGGTGTATGAAGCTGCACAGCTGCAGATGTTTAGAGTCTGGCGTGACGTTCAGACCGGCTCACATTGCTAGGTAAGTATGTACATACCTGATCCTTTGCAGGAAGTGCCCTTAATGTTCACAGAAATGCAGTTCAGTAACCCAGTACTTGAGGGTTTTCATAGCAAGTCTGCAGATTTGTAGGTCTTCCTCATCTTTGTCCAAAGTAGCAATGACAAGAACAGCGTCTTGTCTTTCTCTATGTCGCTGTTCATGTTTATAATTTCATCAATCGCCTGTGCTACCTCATCTTCACTGTTACAGCTTCTGGAACTGGCCCCGTGCTCCCGGTCACTGGGATAGAGAATTCCTTTCTTTGCTGATAGAACGTTCTAGGTGGAGAAAGGATGGCTGTGCAGCATTCGAGGAGCTGCAAGTGTAATGGAGTCAACACAGAGCAATTTAAAGATGTGTTTGGTGTCCGTCCCTGTGGGGACACCTTCCTATTCCTGTTCCATTTTACTGCTGTTTCCTGTGTTTCGCACAGTAAGACGTGGAGCACATTCCCTGCCATGTGCAAGCAGACATGACGAATCTGGGCCACTTCACTAATTCATAAATGAAGCAATGTTTGCTAATCACTCACCTGAGGCAGGCAGGGCTCTGGGTCCCAGGAAGGCAGCAGTGAACGAAGCACCTGTCTGTCCCCCCAGAGCGTGTTACCTGGTTTGAGTCGATGCCTTTGTCTCTTGACTGTCAGTGGCCGGAACTGTTTGTTGGCACCCCCAGTGATTCCCGAATGGCTGAGCCGTGTGCTGTGTAGCAGTGGGTAGTGGATCTGGATGATAGTCTGTGTTCCCAGAAAGGTTGCACTCTTCCCGCTAGGTGCACAGAGTAGAGGCGACCCCCAGATCCGTCGTGGGGTGCACTGTGAGGGCTGTTCCCCGGCTTTCTCCTGGGTCGTGCTTTGCAGTGCATGTGAACTGCAGCCGTCTCCCCAGCGCAGTGGGGTGCCCGACCTCCATGGTGCCCTTGTGAGACTTCACTTAGTCGTCTAGCTCCTCCCGAATCAAGAGCAGGATTTGACAGACCTGCTGTGCGTCAGGCCATCTTCTGGGCTCCTCCTGTCTCTGGGATCTCGACCCTGTAAATGGCCTGCGTTGTCTCTCCAGCCCTCTGTGATTGACAGCTTCCCCAGGCACAACCCACATTTCCCTTGTCTTGCTTCGTGTACAGAATCAGCAATGTCCCCAGAGAGCCCCCAGAGAACACGAGAGCCAGCTGCCGTAGCAGCTCTGTACACAGCCTCACTCCCAGCCTTTCCACAGCTCTTCCCAAGCTGGTATCTCCTCTTTCCTATTCTCACTGCTTCATCAACTCTGATGCCTCTAAGAAACTTCTTGGGGAATGATTTTTGTGCTTTATGTAACTTTCTTAGTTATTCTTGGCTCTGCCATCCATCTGTTCCAAGTGTATCCAGCCCCTTTCTCATTCTAGGAATGAAAGTATGATGCTGGTCTTACATCTTTACAGTTTCAGGGATTGTACCCCTGACACTGCCACTCTGCGTCAGTATATTCTAGAACTCACCAGAATAGTGGCCAGGCAGAGAAGTGGCATTGGGTAAGTTCTCCAAAACAGATGTGATTGAAAGTCCTAGGCAGTTACCCGAGCTAATTCCCGACAGCATGTTGTGTTCTGTGAGTTTTCCGGATGGGGCAGCACTGTTCTGCCCAGGTCAGCTCGGGGCTTCAAGTGGAAGCTGCTTAGACGGGTGAGCTCGTGTGAGTGGGAGTGCTGGACTGGATGCAGCTCTGGGGAGCTGAAGCTTCTGCAAGCCACTGGTGGCTTTGTGTGCTGACTGGTCTCCACGGGATATGTCTTGATCTTCCCTGTGTATGGGCGGACACGCTGGGGTACAGAGCAAATTGTGTGTGTGTGTGTAAATATCTTCACTGTCACTTCAGGAAGAAGGTGGAGCAACACGGTGAAGAGCCTGGACTTGAAAGTCAGTCAAGCTCAGATTCAGCTCCTGTCCGTTTATTAGGGGCTGGAACTTCAGCAAATTGCCAAACCCTCGCAAACTCCCTCTGCACGACTGTGGACTAGACATTTCCGTGCGCTGACGTGAACGTGGGCAGGGACTGCATTTAAAGTGCTAACAACGGTCCCTGGCAAAGTCTGCATGCAGCTTGCTCTCGCTGCTGCTCATTGATTTGTTGGCTACCATGGAGCTTGAGATCCTGACTTGGGGGTGAGACCTTACGACATTCTTGTATATCCTCCAAAGCAGGTGCATGAAGCTTATAGCAAAGAGTTGTTTTAAGAGTTAATTAATTTTCTTCTGCTGTTAAAAATATTAAATATGTGCTTTTTTATAGATAAGGAGCATGGGGGGAGGCAGGGAAGTGTCACTGCGTTCCTAAAGCTGTGTGTATGAAACTTGTTTAACAAATCAAGTTAAAAAAATCCATCTGCAATAACTGTAGAATAAAAGAAAAACACTGAATTAGATAGTTTACCATTCAGTAACTTCAAACATATGCTGATCATCAATAGATAAATAACAAAAATATCATTATCTATTCTTTGCTGTTTTAAAATTAGTCTGGCTCAAGTTTAATTAATACTCTGATTGTACAGGTATTATCATACGTAAGGAAAGGAAAAAAATTAAAGTAAAACAAAAAAGAGTGAAAAAGCTTAGAGTAAAAAACGACCACAGGAGAGAAGTTTGCTCCCTCGCCACCTACCATTAGTTACCAGGATTGATTACCAGGATTGATCACCTCCTAGGTGATCTGAGTCCCAGTTTTCTCAGAGAGATTGCAAAAGGGGAATAATCCTCAATGAGGAAAAAATTTAAGAATGAGAACATGGGAATGAAAATACGTAATATGTGATATGCATGCACATGCTGTTGGCATTAAACGATCAATTTTAACAAGAATGTTAACAAAAAATTAAAAGAATGTTTAACAGAAAAAGCAGTGAAATGAGCACCCGCCTGGTGTTACTGTGGTAACAGTTGAAAGCACACAGGTCTGCACTGAGGTTGGCAGTGACTCACTGGGTGGGAGTCCCTCTGAAATCCGGACGTGATTCTGAGTTCCTCAGCTCTGCTCCCGCTCCCTGGAGCCTGGACTCTGCATCTTGTCTCTGGTCCAGTCCACTCTTCACTCTGCCTCCCTCTGGAGTTGCTGATCTATACGCGTACTTGAGTGAGCCTGAAATGACGCCTGTGCTGAGTCTTCCTGTTTGATTGTTCAAAGTCTGTCTTAGAGCTCGCACGTGCAGTCAGGGTCACGGGCCCAGGCCCTGGGGGAGGTGTTGCTAGCCTGCGGATGTGGAGCACACAGGGTGCGTGGTGCGAGCAGGAGGCCTTGTTATGGCTCTCTGAGTCCAGATGTCTCGTGTGTTTGCTTCCACAGAGCCTACATCATTACAGACTACATGGGCATCAGAAACGAGAGTTTCATGAAATTGGCCGCAGTAGGGACCTGGATGGGGGACTTTGTCACAGCGTGGATGGTAAGACAATTTTACCTTCACCCATTGTGCATGGACAGCGGATAGAAGCCATGTTTGTAGTGTTAGAAGCACACTGCTTATGATTTAGAGTAATCACATCTCTCCCGATGGAACACATTTATGAGTATAGATGAGTCCAGAGATTATATTGCAATATCTGTGGACTTCAGAAAATAAGTCAGTTAAGTTGGAATATTAAAATGACTCTCCATCAGGAGGTATGTAAACACACACTCAGACACATGTTTGAGCATGCGAATATATATATATGTATGTATGTATGTATAGTATAAATATACATTTGTAAATTTAATGGAAAATTTTCCCTGTGAAATACTGATTCTGTGAAGTCTGCTTTTTGCGTGGACAACATTCAGGTGAGGTGCATGGTCTGTCCTGTCTCGGAGGACCCTGTGAGGCATTCCTCAAGGACTCAGGAAATGGGCTTCCTCACTGGTTTTCCCCTTGAACCTGCGGACTGCGGACGCTGAGGGTGCTGAGATCGCCTGCACATGGCTTGTCTGTGGCATTGTAACCATGTCTCACGCTGAGCTCACCTGACAAGAGGAGGACTTCCGTTTCTCGGCCCCTGGCTTAATTAAGCGTGAGCGTCCTGCTAGCAGGCTCTGTGAACTATGCCTCGGTTAGAGAATCACAGGTGCAGAGAGTAAGCGCTTGTGAAGATGGAGCCGCACACCTGCCACACTTTCCCAGCGCAGTGAGTCCTGATTCGCTTTGCCAGGGCGCTCACTTCCACAGGGGCAGATGATGGCCGACCCCAAAAGGTCTTGGAGGGAGTGGGCTGCATCCTGGACACCGTGAGCAGACTGTCACGTGGAACTCCAGCCATTTCCGTCGATAGTTTGCTTCTTCCCCAGAACAGGCGTTTTCAGGAACCAGGGCTCTCCCTCTCCTGGAAGAGAGTCAAGCCACCGCGGGAGTCGGCACAGTTGGCATGGCCTGCTGTTGAGCCTCCTCCCAGCTCTGTTGGTCTTTAGAACTCTCACAGGCCCACAACCAGATGTGTCCCTCTCATCAGCTTTAAAATATGAACTTCAAAAACACTTTGTTTTATTAACAGCAAGAATAGACCACTCGCTGAGACCAGTGTGCCTTGTGTCAAAATTCCCATTTCCATGGGGAAAGCTATGCAGAAGAACTGTGAAAAGTGTGTTTCTTGACATCGAGGGGTTGTGTCTTGCAAGTTTTCCATAATGGATTGTGATTTTGACTTGGCTTTACGATGAACTCGCTTAATAAAATGGAAAAGAGAATTAGGTTAAGAGTTCAGGAATAGGGACTCTCTGTGACACAACTGAGGTGTTTACAGTCTGCACTTTCTCAGATGGGATCAGCGCTTCCTACCTGTGTCACAAACCACAGGCGTGGAGCCTGGGAAGTGAGGTGTAGGGTGTACTCAAATGCTTTCTCGTGGCTGCTCACGTTCCGGGGCCCTTGTCCTTCTGACTACCCTCAGTGCCTTGAATCAGCAGCATGAGCTGGTTGTCCGCCAGAACTCCTGAGCCTTCTGCAGAGCCCGGGAATGTGAGCTTCCCACCGTACCCCAGGCCTGGGGGCCAGGGGGCTGGGTCTTCCTTCCAGTTGCCAGTGCTGCAGTAGACTAACGAGATGAGGCCCGTGGCTTCCTGACTGTCAGCTGACACCAGCCCCTAACAAATCGGGGAGAATCAGCAGAGCAGCAGACCCCAGGAGCTCCCTCTGGAGTCTGCAGGCTCACATGAGCCATCGGAGCCTTTCCCATGTGGCGTTATTTATGGAGACCCAGTTCCATCCACTTTGTCCAGGACTGTCCTTCACGGTGGTGCTTCCTATATCATCAGCAAGTCTTCCTGTATTTGTGGATTGCATTATTGTCATTATTAGTTTAGTTAAGATGATTTTGTCTTTTCAGTTGTGCAGTGGAGCCCAATTATTAGGGTGGCCTTAAGAGGGAAGCCCATGATGAATATTTGACCAAAGACCCCCAACCCTTCCTGGCTGGGGGTCTGCCGTGCCCTTGTCTGCCCCTAGGTGAGTAAGGGGACACTGATGATTCCACAGGTCAGCCCGTGCTCCTTGTCCCTCTCCAGGGTCTGTCTGGCTGTCCTGGTTTATCCTCAGTTGGCTGCTGGACATCTTCTACTAGCTAACGTGTCAGCATGTGCCCTTCTTGTATGGTAGAGCTGAGGTCTGAGTGTGCATCATCTTCTCCAAAGCTCATGCCGAGGTCTGATTGCCTCGGTGGTGGTGTTGGGGGGTGGGGCCTTTGGGAGGTGAGCAGGTGATGGAGAAGGACCAGTGCATGCTCAGTGGGTGAGCTCAGCACAGGAGCAGGTGTTGGGGACAAGGCTGCCCCCGTGTTGTGAATGTATCATTTGCCCTTCCATACTTCCCAGTGTGAGCTGAGGCAGTGCAGGGCCCTCACCCCAGGCCCAGCAGGTGGAACTCCCACCCTCCAGAACCGCGGGCCAAAGTAGACCTCCTTTCTTTAGAACTGCCCAGTCTCAAGTGGACCGAGACACTCCGCTGACCGCTGCGCTTGAGACCTGGGGCTGGAGTGCAGCCTGCGGGACTGTGTTCTGGCTTTCAGTCCACCCTGCGGCCACGCAGTCCGCTCGCCCCTGCAGCCTGCCCTCTGCTCCCTGGCGTGGGTGCTGTGTGAGGAGCTGCGTCTCTCCTCTGCCGCGGGAGGCACCGGCCCTCCCCAGCAGGTCAGGCACAGAGGCAGCAAAGGAGGCGCCGCTTGCCTGCTTGGAGGAGCAGCCACACGCAGCCTCCCCGCTCGTCCTTTCTAGCCAGCACGCGGGCAGTGAGTTTCCACATACATATTTATGTGTCTCCACATGTGTGCCTTGATAACATTTAGCAAATCATAGTTTTCCCCGCGAGAGGAGTCTGAGGAAGCTTTGACCTTCATCGTCCTGTAGAATGCTCATCAGGAAGTGAGTATCAGTGACAAAGGTCACCCTGGGCAGTGAGTGGCTGTGTTGATGATCCAAGCCTGCCTGCCTGTGATTGCTAACGGAAAGACTTGGCTTTTCTGAAAAAAATCAGAACTTTCTCCTGGTTCTAAAAGTGAGACCGGGACTGGTGTGATCCAAAGATAAGGCTGATGCCAGTCAGTCTGAGAAACAGCTTTTGCCCTCACACGGGAGCCTCCAGTGGCTGTGGGTCTGATTTCCTGGGTAGCCCTGCCTTGTCCTGGTCCTGCATTATGCCCCTTACAGGGGACACGTGGTGGATAAGGCAGGGTTGAGAGCAATGCTTTTCTTTGTCAAAAAGGGTTCCACATTTTTGGTGTATGAGAATACGTAAGGTGGAAAGCGACGTGGTCCCACACGGAGCTGGCCCTGGGCTGTTGGTGGGATCAGCTGGCCTCTGTGTAAAACACAGCACCAGTGTCCTCCGTGACTCTGTTCCATGCAGGTGCTGGGCTCTCTGCCGGTGCGTGACAACAGGGAGGGCCGGCCAGCCTCCTAGCACGTTGCCGTGGTGCCCCTGCCCCTCCAGGGTGCCCAGGTCTGTGGTGGCAGGGCATCCTGATGACGTGGTGCTGGACTTGCTCCCACCCCTCACACAGTGCCAACGAGGAAAAGCACTTCCTGTCCACTGCTGACCAGGCCCTGCCGCGCCCTGTTCTGGTTTCCCCTGAAACTGTAAGGGGTCTGACTCCCGACAGTCTCAGCTTGTGGCCGAGGCTGCACTTCAGAAGCTGAGCCACGATCCAGGAAGACAAGAAGACAGGGCTGGTGGTAAACACCAAAGTCACGCCGCGTGCGTCAACTCCCGGCAGGGCCCAGGCTCCCAGGGTGATGCGAGGGCACCTGTCTCCCGGGGCCAGGACGGGCAGAGGTGCCGGCAGGCAGTGAGGTTGTAGGCACGGAATGCAATGTGGCTGTTTCCAGGAGACTTTCATTCTGGGAATTTACAGAGGCATTTTGGTTCAAATGTGTGCGACTTTAATGGGCTTTTGCTTTTCATGACAACCAGACAAGCTTAGCTAACGCCTCATGTGATAGGGACTTTGGAGCCCTAAACTTAGCCTTGGGGCCGGGTTGTAACAAGAAATGAAAGTTTAACATTTGTTCAAGTATTTCTCTCAGCTGAGACTTTAGTAAGAAAGAGATTAAGAATAAAAGTGATTTTTGGAAACATAGTTTACCCTTCTATTTTAATTGTGCCTGTTTTGTGTATAAATACTACACTTTCTAAATGTTTGAAAGACAGTTTTGCCTTCTATTTTTCACACATTTCAATTTCTTCAGAGAGATTTTATAATTAATAGTAATGTGGCTGTTACCTTTGTTTCGAAAGACAGTTTACCTGAGGAGCCAGGAGAGCCTCTTCCTGTCTCCCAGCACTCAAGATGCTGGAGGTGGCTCTGCAGCGGTGCTCACGGTTGTGTGCACCACACCCAGCACAGGACGGGCGTCAAGTGGGGTCCAGAAATATTAACTGAAAGAGTAAGCAGAGGAATCTCTAGAGCACGTGCGTTTTTTCCCCTAGCTCAATCTTGCAACTTAGTGCATGGAATGGACATTCTAGAATGACGGGCAGGCAGAAAGCCTCAGCTCTGCCTCCCTGCTCTTCCTGCCTCTCATGCCATGGTGTTCTCATAACCTGGGAGAACACGTGAGTGCAAGTACTAGGTTGTCAGAACAACTTTCCAAGAATACTTCTGACCCCAGAGGATAAGGGTCAGAGAGCCCGCAGGTGAGCCTGAGCTTTGGGGATGCTGCCAGAGTCCCCGCTCTGTGGTTGCCATTGCTGTCCATGGCTCAGTCCTGCTCCCAGCTCTGGGGCAGGAGGATGCTGGCTTGAGATGTGTCCCTTCAGATTCTTGAGAGTGATTTATAGCCTTATTTACACAACAGAATAGAACAGAGAATACTTCTGCAGTTTTTGGAAGTATTCTTTCAAGCTTAAGTACAGAAAGTATTAAATTTATCATTATGTATAAATATAAACCTGGATTACATTGAGTTTTTTATTTCTGTCAT